CGTGAGATCGACAAGTGTCCCATGGTGTCCCGTTGAGTGAGATCGATAGTGAGATCGATTGAATCAGATCTTGGTTCCCCCCCCCTCCCCCCTCCACACAACCTCCTTATCATCCGAAGGGTAGTCGTATAGGTCTATCTCTCTCTCTCTCTCTCTCTCTCTCTCTATGTGCATGAAATTTCCGGATTCCCACGGCTAACGTACCAGAGATTGTGTTTTGGAGCGGTTCAGGATTGTCAGGGCGTAGATTCGCGGTGTGGAAGTCCAAAGTATAATGTTCTGGCACGACTCTGGGACGTCAAGACAAAACAGTCAGGTTGAATCGCGGCGTTGAAGTCCCGAGAATGGTATTATGGCACGCTTAAGGATCTTCAGAAACGGTTGTCTCCCAACGTGGCACTTCCTTCAGTGGGGATGAAGCCTTGCATGGGCATATGGAGAGGGCGCTCGGAGGGTGGGTTTATTCCAACATCGCTGATGAGTCTTAGGATTACGCTGGTCCTCATTATCCTCTTCCTCCTCCTCCTCCTCATCCTCCTCTTCCTCTTCCTCTTCCTCTTTGTCATCCACCCCCTCCCTCCCCACATCCTCTCGTCCCTCTCCCCCTCCTCCTCCTCCTCCTCCTCCTCCTCCTCCTCGTCCTCCTCTCTTCCGTCTCCTCCTCGGCGTCCTTCTCTTCGTCGTCGTCAATTCTCCTCCTCCTCCCCCTCCATCTCCCTCCTCCTTCCTTGTCTCTCTCTCCTCCCTCCCTCTGCCATCCCTCCCTCCTCCCTCCCTCCCTCCGTCAAGCATGCGTAACCACATCGGCTCCATGCGGCAGTGCAGGGGCCCCTTCCCCGCGTGACCCAGGGGAGGGCCTGGCCGGAAAACTGCCAGAAGAGACCGCTTCAACACTGCGTGCTCGAGGCCAGCAGTTCTCAAAAGTGATCTCGGACCAATTGGTCATGGAGACGCGATGCGACGACGAGCGAGGAATCTCGCCAATGGCAACGCCCGGCGGGAGATCGCGAAGCGGGTCGCATGCCGGGTCGCCTGCAGGATGCGTAAGCGGCAACCCCGGCAGATCCAGAGGAGAATCGGCCAGCTCCCCACTTCCGAGGCCACGCTAAGGGCGATGTTGGCTAACGGCGATGTTGGGCATCTGGCTTTTGCGATGCCGAAGTGTAGGCAAGCACGAACCAGCCTTTCATACAATTGGGATGGCCACGAACCATCCCTACCTACAATGCCGAAACCTACAGCGCCGCCGTTACCTACATCGCCGTCAGCGTGTCTACGGCGCTTCACCGACGCTTCACTCCTGCTAGATTTTTGCCCTCGACCCTGGAGGATCGATAAGGGACATGTTTAAACTTTCGCGTCCAATTGTTAGACGTTCCTGGGTATTTGTGGGTCTCTGGGGTGTAGGATCCAGGGCGGCAGCAAAAACACTAACTCCTAGAGATCCCTTTCCTCTGGAGGTAGGATCCGCCGCAGTAGCAGCGGCGGCAGCCTATTGATATACAGTGCAATGGATAGCTCACCTGCAAGCCTTGCCTGAGACAATGCGAGGCGTGAGGAGGTGGAAGAGGGCTCCATCCCATTTTCCTTGTGAATAGCTCCTCCCTGACGCACCCCGTGACGTGTCGGCAGGGCGGGCCGGGCGTTTCGCCCGAGACTTCCTCATATGTTAGTTAGGCTCCTGAAGCTTGGAATTTGCGACGGTTTCACGTATTGAGGGCGGGTAATTTTCAAGATGTGGCTCTCTCCTTAGGGCTGCGCACATTCGCCTTAAAAGTTCGCAAGAGATTCACGGATAAAGGGCGGGCCTTTTTCAACATGTAGTTCTCGCCTTATTTAGCGCCGCTCACGTTCGTCTTACAAGTCTACAACAAATTCAAATATCCGTATGGCTGCTGTTTCAGAAACTATGTTTCCGCACGATTTAGGAATGTCAGGGCGCAGCAGTCACGTTGCTTCGCGATGTTGAAGTCCCAAGAACGGAGATCTGGCATAATTCAAGATCGCCGGGACGCAACAGTAAGGTTGTTTCGCGGCGGTGAATCCTAGGAACTGTGTTTTGGCACGGTTGAAGCTTCTCAGAAGGTTGTCCTCCAATGGGGCACTTCCCGTAGGGAAAAGAAACCCTCGCAGGGACCTATGAAGAGGCAACTTGGAGGGAGGGCATATTTTCTAACATCGTTCATGCGTGGGTTTACTGGTCCTCCTCCTCCTCCTCCTCCTCCTCCTCCTCGTCCTTCTCTGCAGCTGCTCCTCCTGATCTCCCTTGCTGGCTTGGGTTTTGAAGGGATCACCACCTGGGTTAACCATGGAACGATACAGTCTGGATCTCCCTGCAGACTGGTTCCCCCACACTGCCCTTCTTCTCACTCTCCTGCCCCTGGCTGCATGTTGGATCTTCTCTCGACGTCGGCGCTGTTCACAGCGGCGGGAGCGGGGCAAACGAGGGCCTGGGGCGCCTCCAGGGCGCCGGATCTGGCCAGAGCCGGTGCGCTCCCCCAGAACGCCGACAACGTCGTCCCCCGCAGTGGGATTCAAACCCGCCGACATTTCGGCCAGCGCGCATCTGCTTCCCCGCCCCCTGTCCAGCCTTCTTCCAGCCCCTGTTCCGCAGGAGAGCCAGGAGGAAGGCGGGACCACCCCTCAGATCCTGGGCGCCCTGAGGAGAATCCACAGCGGGCGCTTTCTTAGGGAATCGAACTCTATACACCGACGCTTCCTCCCGCCCTGCATTAGAATTTGCACTGGCGAGCGGATCCTGGTGTATACAGGACCCTGGTGTATACATTTTTCGCTGTTTCCCTGGGACATCGGGGAAGGAAGTAAACACCACCCCACCCCAGCGTCGTCCTCGACCCTCAAGAAATCCTGGGATTGAAAAACAGCCCGCCACTGGCCCGTCTCGGCATACGGAGGCCCTCACGGAACGATGCAGCCCGAGAACTGCCGCAGAAGCAGGTGTGTCGGCAATTCTGGGTTGCTCCCCCCCGAGCCGTGGGACCCCCCACCCGAGAAGGAGGAGGATACGATACGATACGATACGATACGACTCGCCCTTGGGGTGGCGGGTAACACAGAACAGCACATGAGACTAGGGAGGCTCGTGCACCCTGATCTTCACCTCTCTCAAAAGCAGACCTGCAAGATCCCAGAGACGCTGAGGGTCTCTCGAGCCTTCTGGGTTAAATTTCTGAGTCCAGCCTATTTGGTCCCACCTAAGGACGCGGCCCCGGGCAGACCTAGTGTAGGTCTTGGAGGAACGAGAGCTCGAGGAGGAGGAGGAGGAGGAGGAGGCAGTCCGAGAAATGTCGCAGTCCTGGGCTGCACCAAAGGAGGGATTAGCAAAACAGGGTTTTGCGAATCGGCTCACGCAGCTGGTTTTCCCGGCGCCTTCCCGCGCCAGAGGCGCCAGTGTAGCGGCGAGTGCGCTCGTAGGCGGGGCAGACACCACCAGCTGCATTAGAGGAGCCGAAAGCGGCAGAAACATACACTTTCGGCGCTCCGCGCGGATTCCTCGGATCTGCGCTGGACCCCCTCCCTTGCGCACGGAGCGCCCCAGGAGCGGCGCCCGAGACGCCGCAGAGGGGGCCCCACGCGGATCCAAGAAATTCCCGCGGGGCGCCGGAGGCTTTTGTTTATGCAGTTCTTTCTTCGACGCACGCAGCAGCAGCAGGAGGAGGAGGGAGGGAGGGAGGGAGGGAGAGGGAGGGAGGGAAGATGTCGCAACCCCACTTTCCCCGCCCAGCCCGTAGTCGTCCGACCGGGCAGAGTAGTAGCTCGAGGACGAAGGCGAGGGCGAGAGGCGAGGCGGGCCTCAGCCGCCGTCGTTGCCGTCGTCGTCGACGTCGTCGACGACGCTGACGACGTCGTCGCCGTCGTCGTCGTCCTGTCACGACGTTGTCACCTTTGCACGAAGTCTGATCTCGAGGACTGCCAGGCGTTCAGGCTCCTTAAAACTGCGGGAGCCGTTTTGTTTGGGAAGCGGGGGGGGGCTTCCTAAAACGCACGGCCCTCGTGGAAACGGGCCCTCTAGTGCGCGTGTGGCGCGACGGAAAAGAGGCCCTCGTGGAAACGGGTCTTGGACACATGCGGCTCTCTACCCAGGACCCGAGGCTTTTACCCCGAACCGCTTCTGACGGCTCCCAGGGGCTCCTGAAGCCTACGGGGCTAGAAAATATACACCACCAGCCCCCTCGCCCCCTCCCTTCCTCACGAAAGAAGAGAGGAAGAGGAGGGAGGAGGAGAAGAAGGAAGAGGTATGGAGGTGGTGGTGATGTATATGTGTATATCATACGCATATATCATATAATTGAGATGTATACGATATATGTGTATATGTCACTAACATACATATATATATGATATGATATAAATATATATACATATGCGAACACATAAAAGATAAACATATCGGAGTATGCTACATCTGAAATGTGGCCGTGTGTACACCATATGTATGATATGTAGATACGCATGTCATTTGCTGATATACATTATATATATGTGTATGTATATATCGTTGCCCCCCCAGGACCTGGAACGCGGCGACACACATTGCAGGGCCTTTCCTCACAGGCCCTGGCCTCACGGCGCCGGGTCTCGGTTGCTTCGGGGGAGCCACCCGCCCGGGCCAGCGCTCCGAGGCCCTTGGAGCCGCAGCCGCCCAGCCCGCTTCTCCCTCGGCACCGTCGTCCTCGCAGCCGTGGTCGCTGCTGCTGCTGCCGCCCGAGGATGCAAGACCCAGGCTTTCGTTCTGCGCTCAGCGGACCTCCAAGGGGCACCCTCGTCGCCACGACTGGGACGGCGTCGCCGTTCTTGCCAGGACTTCTTCTGGGGGACCCCGAGACGGTGCGGCGACAGAACCTGCGCTGATCTCGGAACCCCCAAAAAGACCTCACCGCACAGTCCGTCGCTGCGCGGCTTTGGGGCCTCGGAGGTCCCAATCGCCTGATACGCCCTCGGAGAACTACCCGAGTCCCAAATCCGTGCGGCCAGCCCGACTCCCAACTGGCACACCACACGGTGTGGTCACCGCACCCTTTGGGGGACCCCGAGTGGCGCACCCCAGGAAAGATCCGACCTTGATCGACTACACGCAAGAGTGACCAAGGGCAAGAGTGACCTTTGGTGCGCGACTTAACGTGGGACGCGGGGTGGCCAAACCTGGGCGCGCAAACCGCTGCTACCGCTTCGCGTTTGGCGATCGGACGACCCCCTTGGGGCCGCATCCAAGGTCCCTCTGGCGAAAGGTCACTCTCATGTCTAGTCGACCAGGAGGGGGGAAGCCCCAAGCCTCTGGCGCAGCGACAAGAAAATATACCTCGGGTGGCTTTGCTCGCCGCCACTCCTGCCCCTGGGAGCGGCCTCGTGGGGGATCGAAGGGTGCAGGAAAAAGGCTTTAATTGGGACCCCCATGGGGCCCCCGAGGTTCAAGAAAGGTGCACCAATCTTTGGCGACACACACAAGGGTAGGGCAAACGGGGAAGGCTTCTTAGAAGGAGGCTGCTTCTTAGAAGGTGCTGGCCCTGCTTCTATTCTATAGACAAGGCCCGCGCCTTCTGAGAAGCAGGGGTGCCTCTAAGAAGCCCCCCCCCTCCCCCTGCCCTCCTTTGCGCGTGGCCGAGTTCTTCACCCCGCGTGTGTCGCCCTCCCACGAAGCACCGCCTGAGGCTGGACGGGGTCGAGGGCTCCGTGGGCCCACGTCGTCGCGGGTCTGGGATGCGCCACGTCCGGCATGGCCTCTTTGGACCCCGGCTCAGGCCTTCGGGCCGTCGCCGCGCTGCGACAGGACGAGGGGCAGGATCCTCTGGCCCAGGTTCTCCTCGACCTCGGATCAAGGAGAGGCGGGCGACACTGGCGGCCGAGCGGACGGGCACGCACGAGACAGACACAGCAGGTCCGAGGGCCCAGTGGGAGGCCACCAGGCTGCAGGGATGGGTGACGGGGCCCAAGGACACACAAACACATAGACACACATCCCAGGATTTCCCATGTTTTATGAATTTGTTTAATGCTCGTCTTCCCCGCCACTTCCCTTATTTGTGTCTGTGTGCTTTTCCCCTCCTGAATGAGGCTGCTTACAACCTGTGCTGATTCCAATCTTAATATGTCCAAGTCGAGTTCTCGCGCTGCACCGCTATAGTTTTAGCTTCTGCTTCCTGCTGCAATGTCTAAAGACGGTTTGAAACTCAATTTGGGGGACAGTTGAAAAAATAGCTACCGACGGGGACGTCCCCGCGACCGCCCTGGCGCTCCGCGTGCAGTGGCGGAATCCTGCGCACCCCCTCTTGGCGTCAGGCCACGCCTGCCATGCCCTGTGAACGTGGCATGTATTGAGACTGACCGAGGCCACCAACTGCGCACCCGCTCTGAGTCGCGAACGTGCTACATCTGACACGCCCTGCGACCTGGAGTGGATCGAGACCGCGCTCATGGACCACTCCATGCACGCCCTCCCTCACTGGTGCCAAGAAAACGCTGCGCCAGCCTTGCCGTGAGACCCTGGCGTTGGCAGAAACCGCACTCGGGGACCACCCTGTGCACACCCCTACTGCTGCCGAGAGGGCCCCGGAAGGGGAGTTCGAGATGGCCCCAGGTGCTGTAAGATGGCCTCCGGGATGGCGCAAGATGGTCCAAGCTGGCTCAAGATGGCTTCCAAGATGCCTCCAAGTGGCCCCATGATGGCCCAAAACCTGGTCCAAGTGGCGCTGGGCCAATCAGGTACCAAAGACTACCGAGCGCGAGAGGTGGACGCCACCGCGGGCACGCGCGCGCAGTCGCGCGCGTACGTGCTCACAGTGTCCCAGCAAGACGTAAAGTACTTACTCGTCGACCGAAGTAGCCTGCACATCTGCACGCATACAGTTCATTCGCATATGCCAGTGCATGCGCGTGCGTGCTTGTGTATACATATTCATGTATACAGTGTACACGTATCAATCGCATTGTTCGGCATTCGTGGAATATTTTCCAGGGGGATCAATGAAACCAACAATTATTCGGCGACGAATGGCAGTCGGGATCCGGGGGGGGGACATTATTTGTAAACAAGTTTGGGACATCACGTTGTTGCTGTCCGCGCGGGGGGGGGGCCCACGATCGACCTGGCCGCCACCGCCCCGGAAAGGTGCGTTCTGAATTTCTGCAGGGGCGCTTGGACACGCAAAATAACATATATTCGTGCTTCCGGAACAATAATCTGTCGTACCACAATCCTTTTCTAATATACCTTGAACGCGCGCCCCCGAGGGAGGCCACGAGGCCAGGTAAATTACATCAGGTCCGCGCCTTCGAGGCCACAAACCTGAGCACATTCGCCAGATTCGTGCCCCGCGAAACCAAACACGTTTGCAAACTCTGCCAGGCACGCGCCCGAGAAGCCACGACCGAAGGAACGCGACACAGAGGCCTCCCCGCAGAGGCTGTGCGGCGGGCTCCTTTCCCAGGCAGGCGGCAATGCGCACGCGGCGGCCGCGCCGCCGCTGGCCGACGGCAGCTGGGCTGGCAGGGAGCGCGGCCCACAGAGCAGCCCCGCCGATCGGCCGCCGATCGGCCCTCAGATCAGCCACACCGTCGTGCTCACGATCGGCCGCTGTGATCGTTTTTGAGTTCATTGTTTTGCCGATCGGCGCGGGCCCTCGCACCCCCCCCTCCCCCCCCCCATGGAATAGATCTTGGCTGTTTTTCGGCACCGGTTCCGAGCCGGTGGAGTCTCCCCCAGAGGACGCACGGTTCCAAGCAGCCGGTCGAAGCAGAGGTCCGGAGCCAGACCCCCCCTTCCGCCCAATGTCGCAACGCCGAATAAGAAAACGTTGATCGGCCACCGATCGAGCGCGATCGGCCCGCTAACTCGAAGGAGGGCCTCGGCACACGCAGAGGCAGGAAGTACGGGCTGCAGCCTCCGATCATCAGTCACCTAGGCCAGTGACTGCCTCTTCGAGATCGTGCGGGCTGGAGATCGGCGCCGCAACACGGCATCATCCGACTGCGTGCCGAATCAGGCAGAATCGCTTCGCATGCCGCTGCGGAACAATCGATGCTCTAGCTGACTCGAACACAGCCGTGAACGCATTGAAGAAAGGAGCGAGTCGAAACCATCCCACATCGAGATCACAAGTGGCCCAGCCCCGTCGAATCGCTGTCGTAGAGCCATCGTGCTGCCATCAGGATCTCCGAAGAAGGAACGAGAGCCTTTTTATCCCAGCCGCGGCAAGACGGGGCCACGAACAGGTTCCACGGCCCAGGTCCAGGGAACGGCCGAAAGGCAGAGCCCTTCCGAAACCCAGTGGTGCTTATTTGAACGCTTTCGCTGTACCACCGTAGGCTTATTGAAGGAACGAGCGAGTCGAAACAACCCCACGTCGAGATCACAATTGGCCCCGCCCCGTCGAATCGCTATCGTACAGTAATGCCTTGGCTCCGTCGCTGTCGGTCCATCTGTAGGCGTTCCACGTGATGACGAAGACCTGGGACTGGGCGGCGGAGGACGTGGCGGAGAGAACGTGGGAGAAGGCGGGACGCAGGAATCGGACGACTCGACTCTTTCTCCGGCCGCGAAGGTGCAGGGACCGGATCAAGGGGCGCAGTGGAAGACGAGGCTACTCCTGCTTGTCCTGCTCCTCCTGCTCCTCTTTCACCTCGTCCACGTCCATCCGCCTCCTCCCTCCTCCTTCCAGGGTCTGGCGCGGAGCAGGGTAGAGTAATGGCACAGATGTGCGGCGCAGGGACGAAAGGCAGGACGGGCGGGGACTCTGATGACTTCGGATTGCCATGTTGATGAGACGCCACAAGACAGTTTCCCTTGATTCTCAGACCCCCGACGGATTCTTCAGAACGTCGACCCCCGAGAGGTCTGGACCCCTTCCCCGGGACCAGTTTTGCATCCTGAGTCGTTGTTTGACGGTCCCGAGGCCCGGTAAGGGCCCCCAGAGGCCGAACATAACGGCAAATCTTCCGTCGTGACGGTTGTCCTGAGTCATGACTCGAGCGGGTCTGGGTTTGGCTTTGCTACAGGGCCCTTCCCTGCTTGTAAAAGAAACCGGTGGGCGCGGAGTCCTTCGTCAGAGGCGTCGCTCGGGGGTGCTCGGGTTGCCCAGGGCTCCCCTGGCGGCCCCCAACGTTGCTTGGGGTTGCTCGGGGTTGCCCGAGGCTGCCCTTGCAAGGCCACGAAATGCCAAGCAATGCCAAGCACTGCCAAGCAATGACTATCAATGTCAAGAAATGCCAAGCAACGCCACGCCAAGCAACACATAGCATTACCAAGCAACGCCAAGCAACGATTCCAAGCAAAGCCAAGCAACACCACGCAATGCCAAATATTGCTTTGCATTGCATTGGTTTCCATTGCTTTGGACAACAAAAAGACCCTTGATCGTGGTCGCGCCAGGTTCATGCTGATATTGCTATCTCGCGGATCTCGCGGCGGAGGTGCACAACCAGACAGAGAAGCCGTGGCCGATAGACTAGCGATTGGCCTGGCTGCCGAGAGAGCACCCAGCCTCGCGGCATGCCCAGCAAGCTCCGACCGCAGGCCAAATAACCTACGAGTCTCTGCAACAAGAGGCGGGTGAGGTCCACACGTACGGACGCAAAGCCTGGACGGCTCCAAACAGCACCGTGGCTCTCCGCAAAGACCTTCCTCAAACAGCGGCTACCTAGACATCCTCCGATACGTGTTTTCAATCCGCGGCCCCAGAGGTCCCGACCTCTTCCCTAAGGGTAATATTTGATCCTGGATCTATGTTTCACTGTCTCAGGAACCGACGACCGGCCCTAGAGGCCGAAACCACAGGAAACTCTGGGGCTCCAAAAAACATATCGTCGGAGATCTGAGGCCCTCCTCGCCCTCCCTGCCGGAGCCGCCACCCAGCCACCCTTCAGCAGATCCTGGCGGCGCTCGTGGCTGGCAGCTTCGCTTACAGACGCACAGCCTAAAGGAGAGGCCGAGCGGGCGAGGGGAACGGAAGGAGGAGGAGGAGGAGGAGGAGGAGGAGGAGGAGGAGGAGGAAGGGCACAGGCGGCACAATGTGCGCTGCCCTGATCGACAATGGCCAAGCTGGTAAAAAAATGTCCCTGCATGGTGCGGCGATCAAGGGAACCCGTCCCAGAAGCGCCAGCCAACCCTTTCGCAGAAGAACAACCAATGCAAGAAAAGACCGTCAGAGCCCAAGGGAACCCGTCACAGAAACGCCAGCCAACCTTTTCGTAGAAGAGCAACCAATGCAAGAAAAGACTGTCAGAGCCAGATCATGCAGCCCGAGCCCCGAAAAAGGGCGATGCCGAAGACCTCATGCTTCAGACACGTGCCCCTCCCTTAGCAGGAGAGCAACCAAGAACCAGGCACTGCCACCCCCCACTATTCCAAAGCTGGCAGGCACGTGCGGCACGAAGCGCTTTGAGAGCAGCCACTCCGCGCAGCGGCAAAACGCCAGCACGCACGGTCCTCGAGCGCAACCAGACGCATGACTCGCCTGCAGAGCGTGCTCGGGCTGGCCGCCTCCGCGTGACCGCCCTCGCCGGGGAGCCCCCCCCCCCCGCGACGAGGCAGCCCGCCTGCCCCCCGACTGCGGGCATACAGGCTGAGGTACGCCGCCCCCGCACGGGTGCGGCCGCGAACCGCCCTCGAGGGACCCCAGGCAAGACCGGTGATACTCAGAACGCGTGTAAGCCCCAGGAGGTGTGTTTATCCATCGAGGCCCCTCGATACGACGCAGGCGATGTAATGATCTGCTGGTTGGGCTGAAGGGGGTAACACACACACATTGGGCTAACACACGTCCTGAGGATCATCGGCAAGAGTGACCCTTCGTGCGCGGCCTGTGGGGACACCGCCAGGCGCGCAAGAGCCGCCGCTGCCGTGACGCATTCCGCGGTCGGGGGGCCCAGTTGGGCCCGCACCCGAGGTCACTCCGGCGAGGGGACCTCTCTCACGTGCAGCCGAACCTTCAGCGACACCCTCCGGAAGGACATCCACGCCGCGCCCGGGCGGGCGGCCGCGGCGGCGCCGCCGCCCGCCTGGAGCACGAGGCCCCGACCCTCGCCCAGCCCGCGCGCCCCAGCCTCGGACTCCGCCCACCGCCACCGCCCGGCGATGTTGACGGCCGTGTGGTACGTGTCCTGGGGCGCCAATTCGAAACATATGGTAGGTTCGTGCGGCGTCGGCGTGCGTCAAGGCTTTTGACACCTCGTCGATCGCCCAACCTTGAAGCGATCGCGGCCCCGATCGTTCAAGGTCGAATTCCGTCGGGTCCTGTAGCGTTACCGTGCCCCTCAGTGCTTCCGCGTCGTTCTGGCATGCGGAGTTCAACCTGGAACGCCTTCGCCGGCGTCGCCAGCGCGCCACCGCCGCACGAGCCTGCCTGGGCAGGCTCATCCTGGGCCCACGATCGGCACGGCCAGCACCGGTATAGGTGCATACAGTCGGGGTGGATTGGAGAGGGCACTCGAGAGGACACGAGACCCTTCCGATGGCCACATTGCCACTGGAACGCAGAGGACATAGGTCGCGAAACACAGGACACAAGGGTACCCGTGTTTGAGCAGGGTCGACCTGCTAATCAAACTCGACTGTAGGATGCCCTCCGGTGTCCGCACAAGCGTCGCCGAGCCGCTGGGCCTCGACCTCGACGCGTAGGAGCACGCGCGACCGGTCCGCCTCCTGCCAGGGCACGTGGAGGAGGACGTGGGTGCCGGGCCTCACCACGTCGCAGCGCTGCCCGTGCACGTGGACCAGGTGTGGATCACCTCAGTGAAGGGGCCCTGGGACACAAATAAATACATACAAAAAACAGGATTCCTCACAGTTTCCCATATTTCCTGGGTCTTCGTCTTCCCCCCCACTTCCCATATCTTCCCATATTTTCCTGGGGATCGGCGATGAATTGTGTCTGTGTGTTTCTTTCCCTCCTGACTCAGAGGAGGAGCGCGCACCGATGCCGCTGCCCCTGCCCTGTGTTCCCCTCTGTGGGCCTCCCGGGAGGCCCCTCGCCGCCACGGCCGGGTTCGCCTCGAGATGCTGGTCGGAGCGCACCCCGGGAGAGGCCCAGGGAGCAGCGGCATCGGTATCCAAGGGCTCCCAACTTCGCGCTTCGCGCTGCGCGAGGCGCGAAGCGCGAATAGCTTCGCGCTCCCGCGCCGCCCCCCCCAAAGGGAGAAGAGGAGGACGAGGAGGAGGGGGAGGAGGAACGAGGACCGCGAAGCGCGAAGCGCGAATAACTTCGCGCCCTCGGGGGAGCCCTTGGTATCCTTCGGTTCCCCCATCACCCGAGGCGCTCACCCGAACTGCCGTCGGCGCCGGGGGTAGGGGGCACCGTGGGAGCAGGCGTCGCGGAGGGTGTCGAGGCAGGCGTCGGAGAGGGCGTCGGGGCGGGCGTGCAGGCGTGGCTGTCCTCGTCGGCAAAGAACGTCGACTTCCCAGCCAGGGCAAAGTTGCGTCCGAAAGCATGGACGTACCCCAGAGGCTGATCCGACAGCACCCAAAACCCGATGGAGAACTCGCTCGCGCTGCACAGCTCGACCATGAAGCATCGCCCAGTCTGGTCCACAGTGATGCCCGATGGGTCGCAAGTGATGCTGGTCAGCGCGTCTGGGTCCGCCGGGTTGTCGCAACCGCGACCGAGCATCTGCGAGGTTGCCCTCATCCCGAGCTTGCCAGCCAAACTGTGAGTGCGCTTCTTGGGCGTCCTGCCAATCATCGATGTCTGAACTGATGAAGCGGCGTAGGCGGCCAACGGAACTGGGTTGCCACTTCCAAGAGTTTCGTGCTCAAACAGCTCCAAAGTAAAAAAAGACTGTGTCGCCGTCGACCGTGTAGACAGCGCTGACACTGTCGAGAGAAAGGACTTCTTTCTCCCCACTCTCGTAGAGGTCAAGGTCGCATAACGTAATATGTCGCTGGACTGGCGTCTCTGGGCAGAATGTATGTCTTCGGACACATGCTGCATTGAGTTTGACAGGCTCGCCGATCAGGAGATTAATATGCGCGAGTGCCGCGCCAATATGATTCCAATGAGTTGCCCTCGGGACGTACGCGGTTGTGTTTATCACGACCATGTCGGCGTTAGTCTCATCTGCAAGCTTCCCGACCGCGTAATCTTGTCTGTATCAAGATTTGAATGAGATGCCCTCCCAACGCCGTCGTTGTTGAGGGGGTCGAATTCGATCCAGTCCTCATATGCGCTTGCGTTTAGCATAAAGTGCTGTGGCAGCTCTTGGAGAGCAGGGCCGAAACAGATTCCTGAATATGGTTCTGCAGGATCGTGCGCATAGACTAAGCAGTTCTGGTCGGATATGTTCGTAGCCCCGAGGGCAGTATCTACACAAGTAGGTGATGATAAGTTCGCTGAGGTCTGCAGCATGAACACATCTGAACATCCTGCACCTTCACACGCCTGTGACACGTGTGGACCCGATGATCTAGCGCACAAGGAAGACAACGCTACCGCCACCATTGCCCGTCTTGCGCGGCACTGTGCAGCAGAAGGATACGCTGCAGGCGCTTGCATAATTATCTACAATTCGGTATCACGTGAGGTTGACTTTGCAGCGGAACCTCTATGAAACCACCTGAGCCACAAATGGCTTGAGCCAAAACGGAAACATATGATCAAAGGTCACATAATCGTGGGAAGAAATGTCCTGTGCCGGCGGCGATCAGAGGGGCAGAGCGGGACACGCGTTGATTTTCGACCCCTGAGGGACTCTGGCCGAAAACTGCACGTTCCCCAAAAACGCCGAGCGAAAAGTTCCATGCATGTTGGACATCGACCGACATTTCGCCAAGCGCCCACATGCTGCGAAGATCCCCAGGCTCAGACCGTAAGTTCCTCCCCTTGATACCACTGGTCATGCACAGGTGAACTGCCCTGTGCAAACCCGTGCGCTATAAACCGACTCAGCGATCATGTTCGATTTGTTGCCAACAATCCCACATGTTCTGCGCGCTGGATTTGCTGATTAACGTCCTCGCTCCCCTCGGAACACCTGCGGGTGCCAAGCATCCAGAAAAATGGTCGTGCACCAGCAGGCTGCCCAAGCATCGGTTATCAAAGAGGAGCGGGGGCTTGGAAAGACTCGGTCTGACCTCTGTGTCCGGGGACTCGATCTGAAACTTCAGGGCAGCCGCTTGCGCCAAGGCTGCGCCATGCGATATGCCAGCAAAAACAACTCGCCGTCCAGGGTGATTGTTCACCTTAGCGGCTGCAGCGACCTCAAACACACAAAGCAAGATTACCCTAAGGTGCTGGTGACCATGATGAGGTGAAAGGAACCTGGTGCCTGACTGACTGTTCCTATACGCTGACATGCTACCTGCTGCGCAAGAATACCCTCCAATAACCAAACAGGACGAAGCCATCGAACCTGTTCGCGACAGGCTTGTCTAAACACGTCTAACGATTATTCAATCCTGCTTCCGACTGACATGCAACTTGTATGATGTGAACATCGTCCACTATCCAACGTTTGTATCACCCGGTCATTGCCGTCCTTCCACTGGGACTTCTTGCTTCTCCCTGAAGCAGAAATTTGAAACACCTTTATATGTTTCACTATCTTGAGCAAGGTGGACCCGGACAACCTAAGCTAGATCTAACTGCGTCAAACTAAGCGCTACCACTAAAATGAGATCAGCAGATGTTTCAAGCTTCAAGCTCAAGTGACGTTCGCAAAAGGCACCCAATCTCAGCGCACCTTGAGCCAGGCACCCGCAGAGAGCATGTATAGATGGCGGCAGCAGTGCGCGACATGAACAATTCAATGGCGAAGGTGGGGAGATCTCGAAAGCGGGCATTGGGTGCGGGGTGGCAACCTACCATTGCCTCGCTGGGCGATCGCAACTGCGTGTAGAACATTGTCGCACACCAAATCATCGCACTTTAGCCTTGGCGATGGGGTCGCGAAAGACTGAGGACGGAACTTCTCTAAACAACATATCGCGCAATCCGTGTGTCCGGTCATCGCTCCACATTCGATCCAACTTGGCTTTAATATCCGCCAGACTGGAATCAGGCCCGCAAAGCGCATGCACGCATCAAGTATCAAAGTTGCTAGGACGTCCCCGATGACCCTCACATGCAACAGCCCAAACCCTCCCGATCTCACGAGCTCGGCTGAAACGAACTTGGAAGAAACAACTCTGGCAACTAACGGGTTCCGTTGCTTCTTCTCAGCCTTCTCTCGAGCGTCGGCCCCAGCACGCAAAATGCAAACCGCATGCCTTTACCAGCTATTACGTGCGGTTTAAGCAGTGTTAACGCGCGGCACAAGACTTGAACACGCTAAGCCATTCCATGCAAGGGGGGTGATGTCGCATTGACCTGCCACCTTGGTGTGGGACCGCCACGCTTTCCAGAGCAAAACTATCGAAACCCCCCAAACCCAGGGCACCCTGGAGGCAAGCAAGGTGTTTCTTGGCATGGGTCTCCACTGTAGAACATTCCTACCCAAAAGCAGAACCGTCCAACACAACACCCACTGTGCCGTGTAAAAACGTCTAAATCCGAGTGCTTAGTCGAATGTTGCATGCGCTAGCCGGAAGGGCGAGAAGCCTAACAATAGGTGGACACCGAGATGTGCAACTCCTGCCCAGTATCATCTGCTGCGCCCCAATTAGCTGGCGTAGTTTGAGCAGCTGTCCTTCTCAAGCTCAAGCCATTAGTAGCAAGCCCAGCGCCAACAACCTTCACAAACTGCGATTTATATCGTAAAGGCGAAAATGCAACGTACAAGGTGCCAGTGTCATCCTGGTCGTCGCCCCTCCATATGAATGCCACTGCCTGCGGACCAGAACGAAACACACATGCAATACATCTCCTTCTCTTGCGCAACGGCTCGGAAGTGCATGACTCAACCAACATCGCGGGCATCCAAACCATGACCAGACACACATCGAAGGACGACAAACCATCCACACCCCGACTGAGATGTAATCAACCAGAACGCCCTCGCCTCCACACCACAACATGCGCTCGTGTCTGCGTTCTTGCCACGGGAGGTGAGCATCATTCGAAACACGTTGACGGAACAAGCTGGACGCAACGGCACGGTTGACCATGGTGAGCTGACCATATTGCATGGTGGTCGTCGAACAGCCTGAAACTACGAACTCGTGCCATCTCTCGGGGGCGCATTTACTTCCGCAAGCGAAGCCGCCCCTGTGTTACTTCCGCCGCCTTTTGCCGTCCTTCTGTCGCCTCCCGCCGAGGAAGAGTCGTCAACTCCTCCGACCCTCGAACGCGATACCCTTTCTAATGCGCCCCATATGCACAATTCCATAATTCAGTGCGGATCGAAAAATGTATAGCATTCATTCCCGACGTTCCCCCAATCCTGCTCCTGCTGGGCACTGGTTTGAAATAGACCTCTGTTGAAATTCCCTCCCGTGCCTCTCCTCCTCTCTCCTCTCGTCTCGCACCTTCGGCACGGCGAGGTGGAGAACTGTCGCCACGTTGCTGCGCCCCTTGGAGGGTCTACCGGCGTGGTGCACGACGCAACCCCAAACGAGACCTCGCCCCCCCCCTTCGGGTGCTGCCACCTGTGTAACTGTCGCCGCGTTGCTGCGCCTCTGGGGTGTCCTGCGGAGGGGCACCCCACGCAAACCCAGCAGCTAGGACTCGCCTTCCACGGGTGCTGCCAGGCGCGCGACTGTCTCCACGTTGTTGCGCCACTGAGTGCCGCGTAAGGCCCAACCAGACCTCGCCCGCTCCCTGGGTGCGGTCAGGCGCGCAACCGTCGCAGTTTTGCAGCGCCTCTGAGGGCGTCCGAGGGTGTAGTCCGCCCCCAACATGCCCGACCAGACATTGCCCCCAAGGTGGTCTAGCGGAGTGGTGCCCCACGCAAGCCCGACCAGACCTCGCCATCCCTTGAGGCTGACAGGTGCGCATCTGTCGCCACTTTGTGATGCCCCCAGGAGGTCCAGAGATGGCGCCAAACACGAACCCAGCTGGACCCTCCCCATGTGCTGCCAGGCGCGCAACGGCATCCACGTTGCAGCGCCTCTGGGGGTTCCAGCGGAGCGGCGTCACACGCTGATCCAAGTGAGACCTCCCCCCCCCCACGGTGCCGCCAGGCGTGCAACTGGCACCGCTTTGCCGCGACGCTGAAGGGTCTAAAGGAGTGGCGGCGCCCCATACAGATCCCAAGCGCACCTCGCCATCCCTAGGTGCTGCCAGGCGTGCAACTGTCACCACTTTGCTGCGCCCTTGAGGGCTCGACAGGAGTGGCGCCCCATCAAGATCTGAATTACACATCGTCCTCCCTTGTGCTGCAAGGCAATCGTTCGCAGATCCACCCCCCGCTCATCATCGTCGACAATATTCGTTACTTACCCCTCTGCCTCCTTCCCCTGGGAAGCTCTTCTGATGGATCCCATGGGGCGTGCAACTCCATGGCTTCCCACATAGCTTTCATAACAACTCGCATGCCTTTTTACATAAACACTCCTTGTGGATAACCACACTGGCGTTGCTACTTGTTGGGTGTGAAAACATCTACCGTGACCACGTCTTCCCATCTTCACCGACACAGTGTACATGCCACCTTTCTTTATCAGTTTATGTTCCTCTGTAGTTGCGCTTAGCGCAGCCTGATCATGCGATATCTTGAGAAATCACACGCGCCTTTGCCTTTTGCCTTTGAACTCCATCAAAACCTGTAGCCCATAATACGTTGAGCCTTCCATTGTCGCACCAGCAACCTCACCTTCTGTTTGTCCACGCCCTTACATCTCGCCCTTGCTTCTTTTCTCTTGCATCGCCAACTCCACTAGTCTGTGGCTAGCTAGGGCCCCTAGTCTGCCTCTCGCGATCTGCAGCCTGCGGAAGCACAGGGGGTGGATTTCGTGATGAGCTCGTGTCGCACGGTCACGCCAGCGAGAACGTGGTGCAGACATGCAAACACCAGCGGCAGAGACTGCAGGAAAGCGCATACCTACAAGACTGTCGGGGAACTGTTCCCCGCGCCTCTCGGACCGTCGATCCGAACCTGCTCCTGAATTACCGTGTGCCAAGGCTCCAACGGGCTGCCGGACGCAGCGATGGCGGGCGTCGCCCGCGCCGCCCCGACCCCGGAGAGCGGCTGGGCTCACGAAGCAAAAAAATGGGGGCTCCTAGCCTAAACGTACGTGGCCCGCTCGTCAGAAGCTCGCGCTCCGCGCTCTGCAGGCTTGCCGCGGAGAAGAGCCCGACTCCGCACGCGCCGTGAGCCCGCATTCAGGAAGGGCAGGGGCCGCACTCCGCGTCCCCGCAGAAGCGGCACCCCCGCATCATGGGCACCTCGTCGGCCCAGCCCGCCGCGGTGCAGCAGAACCCTTGGCCGAGGTCCTCGTCCCTGCCCGCAGCGCCCTTGCAGCGCTGGCGGTCCAGGACGCACAGCCTCTCGGAGTTGCCACAGGTGGCCGCTGGCGTTTGGGTGCAGTACTTTGGGGGGTGCGACGAAGTCGTCGGCGGCTTCGGCTTCATGGTGTCGGCATAGCAGGTCTCCCACGAGTCCACGGTCATGAAGGGGTGCGTCGATGGAGCGTACGAATCCAAGCATGAAGGCTTCCACTTCTGCGGCTTATCCTTCGAATTGGGGAGTATCTCCACGCCTGCGGGCCGGTCGCTTGCGCAACAGCCGTCGTAGGTCAGCTCGTAGAGGGGCAACTTGGCGACCCCGTGCCTGTCCATGCACTCCTGCAGGAACTTGTCCTCGCCCCAGGGCCCCCACTTCCAATCCTCGCACAACTCGCCGCCCCAGCAAAGGTTTCGCTTGCACTCCTCCATGTTATCAGCGACTATCTTGAAACCCTTGGTAGACACCACCTCGAGGTTGCCGTAAAAACCCGAGCCCACGCCCTTGCAATTTTCATAATAGACTCCTACGACGACTGTGCTGGGGTAATTCACGTTGTACACGTACTCTGTGAAACATTTCCCGAAAACTTCATAGAGGAGCTCGCTGTGCAAGAGCTCCTTCTGACTGAATATCCTCCAAGGCACTGTGGCCAAAATATACCAAGACCAAGTACTGCACCGCGTCGTAGTACAGCACAAGAATGGACCAGTCCAGCAACCTGCACTTGAGCAGCACCTGGACATAAAACCTCTCACCAGCATGTTGACTGCCAGCATGTTTGAGGCTCCTCCGCCCCCCATCCACACGGTCCTCACTCAGCGGAACACCAGAAAGATGCAGCGAGGAGGTTGATGTGCAGGACGGGGAGGGGGCCTGACTCACTGCAAAGGAGGAGTAGACACTCCTCGCCAAAAGAAGAATAAATGTATGGCATCGTCCTCACCCTGATATCCATACTCTGAAGCACGACCCAAAGCACACAATAATCCTGGTACCCACTCTGCGGTATGCATACCACCCTGCAGTATACCCAGGTCACCATGGCTCTCTGTTTGAATTCTGAATATGATCCCAGGTGGCCCAGGATATCTCTATGTTGCAGTGGACCCGTGGGGGTTCACGCTCCGTAGCATTTAATCCATCGTGGGAACCCATATGGGCTCTACGGGTCAACCCCCGCAGGAAATAGCATGACACTGAAGCACAGCATGCAATAGAACATACTCGTGAACACCAGTGTTGCCCTGACCCAACGCCAAAGAGTACATGCATTTGCAGCTGACCTGAGGGGATACACAACCTGTCGCATGTAAGCCATCGTGGGCACCCGTATGGGCTCTACAGGTCTACCCCCTCAGGAGATAGCAAGACACTGATGGGCAGCACGCAATCATGGATATCAGACTGGACCACCAGAACAAAATACTGATAGCAAGGCGCTGTTGATCACCAAGGACTCTGACCAACCTCCAACGGATACCTCAATTTGCAGCTGTCCTGAAAGGATACACGCTCTGTCGCATTTAAACCGTCGTGGCCACCCGTATGGGCTCTACAGGTCTACCCCCTCAGGAAATAGCATGACACTGATGGCCAGCACTCAAAAATTGGATACATGACTGAACCACCAATGCAAGATGCTGATCGCAATGTTCGGTTGACCACCAAAAATATGTGAATATCTGCATGCAGCAAACTCGAGGGGATACACGCTCCGTAGCATTTAAGCCATCGTGGGCACCCGTATGGGCTCTACGGGTCTACCCCCTCGAGAGATAGCATGACACTGGTGGGCAGCACGCAATTCGAATACATGTCAACACCATGGTTGAGGCTTGGGTAGAGGCCACTCCGTCCGTCGATCAGGTGGTACAAAGACCAGAGAAGAAAGTGCGATGGTTCTTCATGGATCTACTCTCGCCACACTTGGTGCATTTGATGGTCATGTCTGTCTCGTCAACATCAGAGATATGGTGAGATCTCGGGATCTTATTCGCGTTGTGCTCGCAGATCCGCTTGTTCACAATCTCTGGAGTCAAGTGCCTGGTTTCCTTTGACAGTGCTGATGCCTGCGCTGCCTCAAGGGAACCTTGGCATGGCTCCCTTATCCACTTAGCCATTGAGCGAATAACTGCACTGCGCCCGCAGTTGATACACTTTACCCGCCGGTCTCCAGTCCAAGCGATATGTTCAATTACATGGAAGCCGTGTTCTGCCGCCGTGCGATTGTGTAAGAGTCTCTTCTCATTGGCATGTAGTTCGTGACCTCGTAGGCCATGAAGTGCCGCCTTCTCTTGAGTCGTCCAAACTGTCGCTGAGGCTACCACCAGGATCGGGACAGCCTTCTTGGGCTGGGATCCTTTCGTGGCTACTGCAGCAAGAGCTCTCTCCGAAAATGTGTTGGCCAAGTTGGAGGAGGTCAACTTGGGTGGTTCCCATATCG